ACCAGTTTGTTACAAATAATCATAGCAACGAGTATATAACATCTTATCCATGCATAACCCTACTGTGAACTGCACAGAAATTCTGTCGTGTTCGTCCCCCTTTGAAGCCCCATTAAACTCTCATCATCCAGGCCCACAATCACATATCCGCGACTGGGTGCGACGGCTGCCGGATAAGAGAAGTCCGGACTGTACTATACTACTGCTGCTCCGTACTGCTGCTGTCTGTGCTCTTGTGCTACTGCTGCTACTGCTGCGTACTGCTGCCTGCGTGCTGCCTGCTGCTGCTGCTGCGCCTGCTTGCTACTGCTACTGCTACTGCTACTGCTACTGCTACTCTACTGCTACTGCTACTGCTACTGCACTGCTACTGCATACTACTATTACTAACTACTACAACTACTCTACTACTTACTACTACAGCTACTGCTCTGCTGCCTGCTACTGCTACTGCTACTGCTGCTGAGTGCCTGCTGCTGTTGCTACTGCTGCTTGACCTGCCTACTACTACTAGCTGCTGCACTTCTGTTAGCCTGCTGGTGCCTGTTGCCTGCTCGTTTGTTGCTCGCTGCTCGCCTGTCTACGCTGTCAAATTATACAACAAGCCAGTGAGACTGACAAGCGCACACGCTACATCTCTTTCATGTGCCACATTTTAAACCCTACCATGGCGGTCGTTAATCTCTCTACTCTCTTCTTAATTCACTCTCTCTTCTCATCTCTCCTCTCTATCTCTATCTCTCTCTGTCGCTCTCGCTCTCTTTCATATCTCTCTCTCTCATATCTCACTCTCGTCTCTCTCATCTCTCTCTCTCTCTCTCTCTCCTTCTCTCTTCTCTCTCATCGCTTTATCTCTCTCCTGGTGTTCTCTCTCCCTGTCCCTTCCTCTCTCTCGCTGGTGATCTTGCTCTTGCTCGTGCTCTCTCCCTCTCTCTGTCTCTCCCACACCCCCTTTCACCTCTCCTCGCCTCTTCCTCTGCCGCCTCCTTCGTCAGTGCTCTTCTCTCTCCTCTCCGATCACGAGCAAACGCCGTGAAAAGCGCTAAAACCAGCGAATAACAATTTACGATTTGCTTACCAATACTCTCGCGTACAATTTACGATATTCACATATCTTCAACGTTGAGTAAAAATTAACCCTGTATATAATATACTATTAGTCTTACCAACCAAATGAACTTATTTAATGAACAATTTGACGCCTTTGTTTGTTTGAGTCTAGCCACACGTCGCTGTGTCCGCGCCATAGGAATGACAAGGCATTAAGAACCCTGTGAGAGAGAGGCTGAGAGGGGGAACCGTGAGAGAGATAGAGAGGCGGGAGATCTCTCCTTCTCGCTTCTCCGTCTCCTCCACTCTCGCTCGCTACTCTTCTTTATCTCCAATCACAGCTAAACGTGTGGAAAACATGTGCGAATGGAGTCGTAACAGTCTTTATTTGGAGTTAGACGGGACTACACACGTCGCTCTGCGCTGCGCGCTCGATAGAATGACACAGTGCTCAGAATTAAAGTTTCCTTACACTCGCTTGAGGTGCGTGCCTGAGAGTAGAGGCAGAGAAGAGAGCCTGGAGAGAAGAGAGAGAGAGAGAGAAGAGAGGAGAGAGAGATGAGAAGAGAGAGAGAAGGAGTGAGAGGCATGGATGACGAAAGCAGACAGAGCAGGGAGCGAGTGGAGAAACGCCGCTGCGACGAGACGACAGGAGACGAGAAAAGAAGAGGGGGAGAGAGGAGACGAGCAGAGAAACGAGACGAGATGACGAGGCAGCCAGCGAGAGAGAGTGACCGACAGAGAGAGAGAGAGAGAGAGAGAGAGATAGAGAGTGAGAGAGGAGAGAGAGAGAGGGAGTGCAGAGACGAAGAGGAAGAAAGAAATTTATAGAGAGAAAGAGCGAGAGAGAGGAGAGTAGCCAGGACAGAGAGAGAGAGAGTCAGAGGAGTGAAGGGTGAAGCGAGAGGAAGGAAAGAAATAGTGATAGAAGGGATAGTGCGATAGCTGCGTAAAGGAGGGGGTACGAGAAAGAGAGGAATAAGAGACAGATAAGAGAGAGAGAAGACAGGAAAAACGCAGAAGGCGGTGAGAAGGAGGGCCAGGGAGAAGCGGCATACACACACCACACACACACACCACACACACACACACACACACACAGCACACACACACACACACACACACAAACACACACACAACGCAACACCCACACACACACACACACACACACACACACACACACACACACACACACACACACACACACAGGGCGAGAGTAAGAGAGAGCGAAAGAGAAAGTGACGGAGAAAGAGAGAGAGAGAGAGAGAAAGACGTGCTTAAACGCACGAGCAAATCAAATAATGATGTCATTTACAGAAATAACGATAAACCAAATTTCATATAAATAATCAGGAATTCATTGTTCTACTTTCCTTAGTTGGTTTTTTAAATATTTCAATCCACTCGTCAATCACTAAATTAGCCTCTGATAAAAAAATAAATGTAGAATATTAAATCATAAGTGAACGTCAAAATGAGTACGAAGAGAAATAAAAAAACAGTCGCGATAAAATTAACATGATTGCATGACAGCCATCTAATCTCTCTCGTTATTTTTATTTCCATCTCTCAATTCTCAGTTCTCGCTTATTATGCAGATTCATCGCACTCCCCTAGCACGCAGAAACGACAGAAAAAACGACAAATACCATGGAGATTCGAGAAATTGCGAGGAAAAACAATAAAATGTAAATGAAATATAATATAAATAGTTTGCCAGCGTATATCCATAGGAAGACCGCGGATGTACCAGGGTATCTACATCATTACCCTGTATGCACCAGGATAGTATAGCCAGTGGACGACCTAGGTGTAGCAGGGTAGCGATAGCAAGGCATGGTATAGCAGCGTATCCTAGGGAATCGCCAGGGGGCCCCGTTGTCCGAAACAAAATTAGTTTTAACATTTGTCGTAATATTAACATTTTCTCTTAGATTAGTCCTCTGTACACTGCGTCTGAGTAAATTGTAACTTTACCACATTTCTGTCGACGGATTATGATAAAAAGTCAATGTTAACACAAATCTTAACTAGAACGCTAACAGCAGGCTTGCGTACGTTAGCGCAAATAGTTCTAGGAAAGAAAACACTATATTTGTTTTCTGATTGACGATTGACGATGATGTAGATAACATATGATTTAAACAAATTTCACAATATTGTACTGAACAAACATCGAATACAAAATAACTGTTAATGAAAACTGCAATCGGCTCGGCTGTGTCCCGGATGTGTAAACACTGTAAACATTCGAACGTACTAGTTTCGTAAGACTGTTTAGATTTGCAGGAGAAATGTTATGAAAGTAGCAATACAAATGGGTTGTAGTGAATTTTTACAACATCGACGAGCTCACTGTAGGTATATCTATGCATTTTGCTGCGAGAACATGGCTGAGGTCACTGTCGATAAAAGTGTTCGTTCGTTTAGTTTTTTCGTTAGTTTTTGTCTTTCTGTTCCTTCAAATCTATGGGGAGCAGCTCCCCGTTGTCTCCTCCAAACAGAGGTTATATTCCTGGGTTACCAGAATGTCAAAGATGACGAAGTAAAAGGTTATAATTACATAAACGTACATAATTATGAGCTCATTAGTCTAAAACGCCATAAATGTTTCAAGGGTTCATGCAAGGGTCATGATTATTTATGAATAATCTGAGCCTAATAATGGTGCCTGGAATTACAGACACTATATAGCTGGTACGTATATTCCCCACTCGCTCATAAGCTGGTATGTTCACCCGAGGGAGATGACACATATTCTTGCAGATCACGCTGCAGCATATTACACTCCCTACATGATTAGACCACACGCTACATTAATGAATATTATATATATATCAGAAGTAGATAATAGGGATCGCTATCGATCCCTCGCGAACGGATCGCACTCGCGATCGATCGAGCTCCGTACTTCAATCAAAGGCGCCGCTGCCGCGCACATGGCTGGAAAGACGCGCCATGGCTGTGTCAGATTTTCGTGACATCACTGTACACGTGTATATCACGTCAACAAGAAAACCACGGTATTGAGCTGGTTACGGTAAGATAACTCAAAAATATTACACCGCAATAATATCGCAATACCGGTATACCGCTGCATCCCTAGTATCCGTCCCTTCTCACACGCTCGATATAGGGCGAGTTACACGAGATAGTAAGATACACGTTCCGGCGTTCTCGACGTGTGAGAAGGGACGGGTACCAGTCTAGGTGCGTTCACGGGGAAAGCTGCAAACGACATTCAGAATTCGAGCAAATCGGCGTAGAATTGCAGTTTAAAAAAGATTTGTTCAATTACATGTAGGTTCTATTTATATTATTTGTATTCGTCAGTAATCGCAAAACGACGACGCGAATAACGAATACGTATCGTCCAACAACAATATTCGGTGCACCGAATACGCGAGTGTATCGATCGTTACAGCCCTAGATCTCAGCATAAAAGAAACAAACATAAACCGAAGTATAGGTTCCATTTCATATAAACCATGAAACACGACAGTTTGTTACAAATAATCATAGCAACGAGTAAATACATTATCACATGCATGAACTCTACTGAACTGCACAGAAATGCTGTGTTTGAGCATAACTCTCATATCTGGCCAAATCGCATATCTGGATGGGTGCCGGTCCCGACGTGGCCGGATAAAGGAAGTCGGACTGTACTACTACTACTGCTGCTGCTGCTGCTGCTACTGCTGCTGCTACTACTGCTGTTGCTGCTGCTGCGGCTGCTGCTACTATTGCTACTGCTACTGCTGCTGCTGCTACTACTACTACTACTACTACTACTACTGCTGCTGCTGCTGCTACTGCTGCTACTGTAACAACAGTCGCTTGCATGCGCACACGCGGTGCAGCGTTTTGCGGTTGCAGGTTGCAGCGACGAGCAACCAAAAGTCGCAAGTCTGCGCTAGGCGTTACATACACTTTTTCTCATCGAAGCGTGTTAAATTTGCTATGCCTCCAAAACGCAAACGTGTCGTTTTGAAAGTTGAGCAGAAGCTTGATATCATTCGTAGGCTAGAGAATGGTGCTACGCAAGCGAGAATTGCAGAAGAATTCGGGATAGGAACCAGTACAGTCTCTGATATTTTTAAACAGAGAGACACACTCAAGAAATTCGTTTCTGAAACCGCAGTGTTTGAGGTCGCTGCAAAACGCAAGGTGATGAGGTCTGCAATTAACGAAGCCGTGGATCAAGCAACTTACTGCTGGTTTCTTCAGCAGCGTGCTAGCAATACGCCCCTTTCTGGCGAATTTATTAAAGCACAGGCGCTAAAATTCAACAAAATCTGTCTTCGTGACGGCACTGGCGGGAACCCAGATTTCAAGGCATCATGTGGATGGCTACAGAAGTTCAAGGAGCGGCATGGAATCCGTGGTCGATCCGTGCAGGGGGAAATTCTCTCTACAAATCCGCACGCAGTTGACTTATTCCTCAACCAACTTGAAGAAATCATTGCCGATGGAGAACTCTCTAGGGAGCAGATTTATAACTGCAATGAGACAGGCTTGTATTTTAAGGTATTGCCACACCGCACGCTCGTTGGACCGAGAGAGAAGACAGCACCAGGGAGCAAGAAGAGCAAGGATCGCCTCACTCTCCTGGCAACGTTCAATGCCACTGGTACCCACAAATTGCCCCTCTTGCTGATCGGCAAATCGAAGAAACCAAAATGTTTCAAGAATGTCAACATGGCTGCCCTTCCTGTCACCTACAAAAACCAGAAGAACGCATGTATGGATAGCGATATCTTCAACCAGTGGTTCAAACACTATTTCGTTCTTGCTGTTCGCCGCCATCTGACACTGAAAGGTCTTCCAGCAAAGGCAATTCTGCTCATAGACAACTCCCATTTGCATCCATATGCTGGAGAGATGACATCAGAAGATGGTCAAATCCGATGCGTCTTTCTACCACCCAATACCGCTCCACTCTTGCAGCCTATTTACCAGGGAATTCTGGAGACGACAAAGAGAATCTACCGCAAGAACCTCGTCAAAAAGATCCTCTCTGAGCCTGACAATTCCAGCGAAGGCATCTTGAATTTCATCAAATCCTTAACAATCAAGGACGCAGTCTACATGTCAGCTGAAGCATGGAATGCTGTCAAAGCTAACACAATCAGCAAGTGTTGGCGGAAGCTAAATCTTGGTCTAGAAGCAGCACATGATCAGGCGACAGAGGTTGGGGCTACACAACAAGAATGTGCGGGATGATGGCAGGCTGCATCAGTGTTCTAATCCACAAAGGATGTACGAGATGTTATTATTACACAAGAAGGATTATACGAGATGCCCGGGGTCGTTAGAGACACACACAGAGAGAGAGAGAGAGAGAGAGAGAGAGAGTAGTAGGAGAGTTAGAGAGATGGGGAGAGAATGAGGGGGAGACAGATATAGAGGGAGAGAGAGATGACGAGAATTAGAGAGAGAAAGAGGAAAGTTGGCGAGAGAGGGGGAGAGAGAGAGAGAGAGAAAAGGGAGACAAGAGTTAGAGGAAAAGATAGAGAGAGAGAGAGAGAGAGAGAAAAGGAGAGAGTTAGAGTGAGAGAGAGAGAGAGCGCGAGAGAGAGAGCAAGCGAGAGAGAAGAGAGTTAGCGATGGAGAGAGTGCCGAAATAGTCAGAGAGGGAGATGGAAAGGAGGAAGTTAGAGAAAGAGAGAGAGAGAGAGAGAGAGAGTGTGTGTGTGTGTCTGTGTGAGTGTGAGTGTGAGTGTGAGTGTGAGTGTGTGTGTGTGTGCGTGAGAGAGAGTTTGAGAAGGAAAGAGAGAGAGAGAGAGAGAAAGAAAGGGGTGGAGAGAGAGAGAGAGAGAGAGAGAGAGAGAGAGAGAGAGAGAGCGAGCGAGAGAGCGAGCGAGAGATGGAGAGAGATGGAGAGAGATACATAGTGAAAGAAAGAGACGGAAAGAGACAAAGAAGGAGAGTGAGAGTAGATAGCAACGATGCTGGCAAGGTGCGACCCTGAATCATACCCACGCGCGCGTTTTTCCACTTACTTACTTACAATCTCGCTGTTATATTATTGCTAGAAGAGCGGTGAGGCGAGGAGGAGGAGTAAATAAAGTAAAACTAGCTCTCTACCTTGCCTCCTCCCCTTCCTCCCCCCAGCTGGGACATCCCACACACGAAGAGCACTCACTATATATATCGTGACCAATTTGGAGCAATTTCCTGCTAAATGTACACGTATATAGTCATCCATATATTCATTCATTACGCGACCACACGCATACACACAAGCACGCGCGCGCCCACACGCACATACACGCACTCACTCCTCCTCCCCCTCCCCCTCCTCCTTCTCCTCCTCCTCCTCCTCCTCCTCCACCCTTCTCCTCGCAGCAGCCCCTGCTGGACAGCGAAGCGTTCTCATTATAGAGTTAAGTCATCGCGTCGCGTTATCATCCTCCTTATCCTCGATCGCCTGATATCATACATTATTATTGTCAGCTCGTCACCTGAACCTATCCTGGGTGCATCACCCGTGTGACGTTATGAGGGATCAGCATACTAGAGAGCGGGCACGCGCGCGTATGTGTGTTAAGGAAAGGTGAGAGGAAGGAGTTCAGGTTTGTACGTGCCTGACCTAGAATTATAATCATAACCCCCCGAGAAATGTTTATACTCACACTGAAGCCATAACCGTTCCCGTCACGCCAACTCAAAACATACAGTGCCTACCCCCTAACCGTAACCCGAACCCCTGCCTTCCTTAACCCAGCCCTAGCACTACTTAACCCAGCCTCAGCCCTACTTATCCTAGTTGTATCCCTACTTAACGTAGCTTTAACCCTACCCATCATTACCTTAACACTATAGTCCCTTGGTTATCAATGCCGCGGCGTAGGCTGGGCCGCGATATTGAAAATCCATAAACACTTCCGCCTGATGAATGACATGACGACTCGCAGATACATAGCGCTGCGTGGTTGAGGTTAGAATGAGAATATGAAGGGTGAGGATTGGAATGAGGATGGAATGAGGATATATGAGGGATGATGGATGAGGATAGGAATAGGAATGGAAGGCTGATGATGGGGGATGAGGAATAAGGTGGGAATGAGGATGGGGAGGCTGAGGATGAGTTAGCTCTAGTACTATAGCCCGCGTTCATTAACTGCCGCAGGGCTATAAAACATTGTCAGCTCGATTTCGCTACTGCAACCTGTCACCACCTGTCCCCACTCAAAATGGCTCACATAACGGAAAATGATCAGGCTTTTTAACACTTATTTATCTACATGGTCATCTCACCTATCTTTTTGAACACTTCCACAACTTTACACCATGTATTTATGCATTTATTCCTAAAAGTCCTAACACTACTGGTGTTTCGTTTTTAAATGCGGTTGCTCTGCTTATGTTTATACGCGTGACGTCACCCGAAATGTACTAAGCTGAATCATAGGCTGCCATGTGTTTTGTCTACATTTCATTACACCATAATGCAGACAAGCGCGCATTTGAATAACGAAAACACCTAGTATGCCAAAGAATTTTAGGGAATAAATGCATAATACATGGTGTAAAAGTTGTGGAAGTGTTCAAAAAGATAGGTGAGATGTTATGTAGATAAAATAAAGTGTTAAAAACGGCCCGATCATTTTCCGTTATTGTGAGCCATTTTGAGTGGGACAGGTGGTGACAGGTTGCAGTAGCGAATCGAAGCTGACAATGTTCTATAGCCCATGCGGCAGTTGAATGAAGCCGCAGGCTATAGTACTAGAGTGATGGATGAGTGATGAGGGGTGAGGATAGGAAAGGGATGGGGAGGCTGAGAGTGAGGGAGGGGATGAGGGATGAGGATAGAAAGGGGATGGAGAGGCTGAGGAGTGAGGGATGAGGGAATGACGGGATGAGGGTGAGGGATGAGGATAGGGATAGGGAATGAGGAGGCTGAGATAGGGATGAGAAATGAAGCTAGAGGAATGGAAGAATGAGGATAGGAATGAAGAATGAAGATAGGGATGGGGAGGCTGAGGATAGGGATGAAGAATGAAGATAGGGATGGGGAGGCTAAGGATTGGCGAGGGAGGAACGTAGAGATGCTGATGATGAGGAGGAGGAATGAGGAATGAGGGTAAGATGAGGATGAGGGTAACGATAGAGTGAGTGGTGTAGAATGAGGATGAGTGTAAAAATGAGGGATGATGGAATAAGGATATGGTAGAATGATATGATGGTAAGAATGAGGATCGATGTAAGACGAGATGATGGATAATAAGTATGAGTATGAGTGTAGATGGAGGATGAGAAATCGGTAAGCAATGAGGATGAGGTAGAATGAGGATGAGGGAGTAAGAATGAGGATGAGTAAGTAAGATATGTAGGAATGAGGCGTGAGGTAGAATGAGGATGAGTGTAAGAATGAGGATGATGGTAAGAATGAGGATGATGGTAAGAATGAGGATGAGGGTAAGAATAAGGATGAGTGTAAGAATGAGGATGAGGGTAAAAATGAGGATAAGGGTAAGAATGAGGATTGATGGTAAGAAATGAGGCATGAATGGTAACGAATGAGGATGAGGTGTAAGCAATGGAGATGATGGTAAGAATGAGGATATGGCTAACGAATGAGGATTGATGGTACGGAATGAGGGATGAGGGTAAGAAATGAGGATGATGTAGAATGAGATGATGGACTGAATGCTAGATGAGGGAAGATAAGAATGAGGTATGATGTTGTAAAGAATGAGGATGATGGTAGCGAATGCAGGATGATGGTAACGAATGAGGAGTGAGGGGTAAGAATGAGGATGATGTAAAGAATCGAAGATGATGGTACGAATGAGGATGAGTGTAAGAATGAGGATGATGGTAAGAAATGGAGGATTGAGGTGTTAAGAATTAAAAAAAAAGGATCGTGCTTAAGAATGAGGATGAGGGTAAAAATGAGGATAAGGGTAAGAATGAGAATGATGCTATGGAGCATGACGAGGATATAGAGGACGATAACGATAAGAATGCTGGCGATATGTTAAATAAGGAACGGACATCCGGGAATGGATGGATAATAATAAGCATTACAGCTGGTAAGATGTAGATGAGGGAATGGGGAGCGAGGAGGGGAAGAAATGAACATGGCATGGAGTTGAGTGAGGTAGCAGCTTGATTGCGTGTGTGACGAGAAGGGATCAGGCGTTGTGCAGGCGGGATGATGGCAGGCTGCATCAGTGTTCTAATCCACAAAGGATGTACGAGATGTTATTATTACACAAGAAGGATTATACCGAGATGCCGGGGTCGTTAGAGACAGAGAGAAAGAGGAGAGGAGAGAGATGAGGGAGAGAGAGAGAGAGAGAGAGAGAGAGAGAGGAAGTAGTAGGAGAGTTAGAGAGACTGGAGAGAATGAGGGGGAGACAGAATATACGAGGGAGAGAGAGATGACGAGAATTAAGAGAGAAAGAGCGAAAAGTTGGCGAGAGAGGGAGGAGACAGAGAGAGAGAGAGAAAAGGGAGACAAGAGTTTAGAGGAAAAGATAGAGAGAGAGAGAGAGAGAAGAAAAGGAGAGAGTTAGAGTGAGAGATGAGAGAGAGAGCGCGCGAGAGAGAGCAAGCTGCGAGCAGAGAAGAGAGGTTAGCGAGGGAGAGTGCCGAAATTAGTCAGCAGAGGGAGACTGGAAAGGAGGATTTAGAGAAAGAGCACTACACTACACACACACACACACACACACACACACACACACACACACACACACACACACACACACACACACACAAGCGCGTATTCACGCACGCACGCACGCACGCGCAAGCGGACACACATGCAACATCGTAGTGTTGATATTTGTAGATGCGATGATATAGTTGTGTGATGTGATTGTGTTGCGTGATGAACATGTTGTGTTGATATAGTGTAGATGCTTTGTCGATATTCAAGCCAATATTCGATGATTTTATTTGTTCAATAGCTGATCTTACTCCTAGTATCTGGATCGCTTAATAGGGCATAGAAAATTAAATAGATTGCATCATAGTACGAGACTTACGTTTCGCCTCCTGCCAGGAGGCTTTATCAAAGCTAACTGATGATAATCAGTTTTGGCCACCAGATGGTGTGGTGGTCAATAGCTTAGTCCACACGTGACTAAGCCTGTACCCCCCTCGTCCCGGTTGATGTTTGGGGTCTTGCGGATCCAGATGGCCTCCTTAATTCAACGCCTGATTTTGATTGGGTCGCGATTGATGATCTTCGAATTCTCCCAATCGATGGTGTG